CTCTCTCAATCAGTAGAAAATATGGTTAACACCCGGTCATGCATGAAAAAAAAATACCATCATGTACCGTGAAACGGTATAATTTTGAAGAAAATCTTTTGCTTTAAAGAAATCTTTTGTATAAAGCACTATATAAATAAATGTGATGTGACATGACTGGAGGGCTGAACTGCAGAGCTCATGCCAACATATCCACATCGCTATGATCAGATGCTTTCTTGACTGTCTTCTCACCGTTTCTTTTGTTATTGAGAGGAAAGCATGTAGCAGTGTAGAGAGCATTGGCATGTTCGCAATTAGCACACTAGTATACTGTACTAGTATAATCTTACCCCTAAGCAAAGAACAAAAATGAACATCACTGGAAGTATATTGGGGCCTTAACCCACGGCTTCAAAATCTTTCAAATGTGCATTTTTACTCTGAGCTTCTTCCCTTCCACACAGAATCTCTGCACTTTCCTCCACTTACCTCTTCCCAATTCGCAATCCTGCAACTCTCATTTGTTGCTTTCTTTGCCCTCATCCCCAGCTTCTCTTTTCTCCCTTTGTCTTTAATTGCTATGATTAAGTCTCCTGCGTAATAATTACTGTCTCCATCCCTCCAGAAACACTGACAGACTAGGCGTTCATTCCCTCATAACCTCTATGTGCCAGTACACCAATCATGTTGAAGGAAACTGAAGCACGCTGTCTGTATCAATCACGACTTGAATTAAACACACCTGAATTAGGCTACTGCACCAACATGGCCTTCAAATTAAGAACAGGCGTTTGGTAAAAGAGGAAGATGATGATGTTACCTTGATGTAGCAGTTAAGCTGTGGATAAACCCTCTGCACCCCCAGGAAAATAGAGAGAGGGGTTCGGTGAGGGAAGGATGCTGTGACGACATGTGTGACCTCTGGGAAAGAGAAAACCCGGAAGCCGTGCTTCTCATACAGCTGCTGCTGTTCCTCATTGGGTGCATCCTCGCTCAAAATACTGCCCACCGCATAGCGACACTTCTGTGCTGGCACCTACAACACACATAAACAAACATTTCTTAATGCAGAAGCATTGTAATTCTTGAAATTACTGTCAGAAATGTTTGCAGAGAAAGGTTTTCATTGAATTAATTAAGACAATCATGAAAAAGCTCATGACAGTAATTAAATGGTTGAAGAAAATGACAAGAAAAAAAGAACTGCAACATAAATAATGCACAAACAATAATTTAGAATGTACAAAACATTTAAATATTATAATCATAAGTACATTAAAAAAATTAAATTATATATTTTTAAATAAGTAATTTTATTTAAATATGCATTAAATTGATCAAAAGTGGCAGTAAATACATTTTAATGTTATAATGAGAAAGGGAAATAAATGTAAAAATTCTCAGTTTCCTCAAAAATATGAATCAGCAAAACTTTTAATAAGAAGAAATGTTTCTTAAGCAGCAAATTAGCATATTAGAATGATTTCTGAAGGATCATGTGACACTGAAGACTGGAGTAACGATGCTGAAAATTCAGCTTTGATCACAAAAATAAATTAAATTTTTAAAATGTATTACAATATAAAACATTTATTTTAAATTGTAATATTTCACAATATTACTGCTTTACTGTATCTCTGATCAAATAAATTGTCTTGAGCATAATTATATATATATATATCAAACCGACTGAAGGCAAACTTAAAACAAGTCTCAAGTCAGATTGTGTTAGCTCACTTACAAATATGCCACACATAATGCAATATCATGTCTCTAAACATGTGGAACACACATGTACTACAGTGCACAAAACAAACAGTGGATAATGAATGCAACCCTTTCTACTGCTCTTTAATTAGTTTGGCCCTGCTAGCTTTCACCGTTATCAACTTTTCCCAGTGAAGCAGGATTATATCAAAGACGAACACTTCTCTAGCCAACAAACACTCTTCTTCCCAAACTGATCCCCAAACAGCATATCCACAACAAAAACTTTCCCAGCCCCATTAAAACCCCTCAGCTGCCTGCAGTAATCACCAGAAGGAGCCGTACACATCTCACAATGCTTATCTTGTGCAACAAATAAGCAGGAAGAACTCCCTCACTCTCACTAGCGCAGTGGCATTCAAAGACAACAGGGAGCGTCCACGATTCGTTGAGTCACAGAGGAAAAGCTAGCTTAATGAGAATAAACAAAGCGATGGCTGAGAAAAGCATATAAATAGAGGATTAGATGGAGTTGCATGAGCAGGTGGCATTGTATGGCGAAAAAGAAAAAAAACAATGAAGCTGTAGTTTGATAAGACTGTGACTAGTTGCCACGCATCGTCTGGCAGCTTCGAGACCAGTGTGGATGGATGCCCAACTGTCACTTTTCACGCACGCCTCTTGCTTTTACCAACCAAAGGAATATATGCTTGCAAATGAGGGCACCGGGGAAATTTGAGATGGATTGTACGACCCAATCTCGGCTTGGGGTTCAGGTCTCTCGAGGATTTGGAGGGAAAAGGGGTAGGTCGCCGAAGCTAGACTGTGACAGATGAAGGTCTGTTTAGAAAAGAGGCTGCAACAGTTCCCAGAACATCCATCCTTTAAATTGGAGGAAAGTGTTCATTCGTCTCGTAGTCTCTTCTGGGTCACTTTTGGCCTCCTGCCGAGCCCTCCAGGAATAGATTGCACTGCCAGTCAGGAGAAATATCAGTCACAAAAACAGATAACCAGACGAGTTAAACTAGTTTTAGTTTTCTCTCAAGATCGTTTGGTGTTTATATTAGAGTCCTAATCAATTCTGATCCTTCAACAGAATCACATAATTCTTCGAGTAGTCTACTCACAGCTGGATCATTCTGAGGCCCTGGTCTGCGGGAGGTCTGGATTCCCGATGTGCTCCCAGCAGGTGCTGTTCACGGGGAGTGTGTTTTAACAGACTGGCCCGTCACTAAGCATCCATTTGCTCAGAGCCTTTGACAGAAATTGTGACTAAGTCTCTTCCAACATGGCATTAGATTATAAATAAATGAGATCAACAACAACAAAACTTCAGGGATTGCCAGAGACCATGTTCTGTCAACAGTTTAGTCAACAGAAGGCGCGTTTCCATTACAGATTTGATATTTTAGAATATCGATATTTTAGAAATGTTGATAAAAAAAGTATTGCGAAATGACGGCGTTTCTATTAACCAATGTTATGCGACTAAAACGTAACCTTTTACCTCTCGCGATAAGTCATGGCAACGGATTTTGTTGGGATTTTGGCTATATTTATTCAAAGGAGGCGTATGCGTGTATCTTTACAGAAGCAGCACAGAGAGCCACTTCAGAAACGTGTGTGGCACGGGTGGAATAAACAAGCATTGACTAGAGTGACCGCAATCAGCTTCAGTGGCCGTATCAGAGCCACACTGCACCGCAGATGTGTGCAGTGTAAATTGTCTAAGCATTAATGGTAGGGAAATCCCCTTATACTGGAAAGCGGCCACGTAAGTGTTTCTTGGAGGTTATAGTACATTGAAGAATAATCATATGACTTTTTCCATACGCCATGTGACCTGTAAATGCGGGGAAAAAAAATGTTTCCATTGCAGTTTTGCAAATTATTCCTCTTTCGCATTGCTTGAAAAACCACCTCATGCGAGCGTAAAACTTTTTTGCGATATATGGGCGTTTTTGCGGAATTGACTCGTTTCCATTAGGCGTATTTTCAATTCGCAATTTCAATTTGCACAATTTGAAGGGTAATGGAAACGCGCCTAGAGTGTCTTCAGGACACCTTTTTTTTTTTTTTTTTAAACATGATGTCAATATTACAGGGCAAATCCACAGAAGCAATGAATAATCATTAGTGAATTTTATTCCAAAAATTACATATAACTAATATAACCAAATATATATTATATAATATATAAATTATATATTAAATTATATTTATATACTAAAAATACATTTCAGTGATTTTTTTATCTTTACAAAAAAAATGTCCTTTAAATTTAGTTAATATTTCACCATGTTAATCGTACTCAATTTTACTCTCGCTAAAAAGGCATATAATTTATTTGATGTATTATTTTAGTAGATAAAATGTGCAAAATTGAACAAACTGAAAGTGTATAAATTTGTAACAAACCAATTATTATTATTTTTTTATTATTTAAAAATAATGAAGTGTACATTAAGCTATTTAAACATCAATTTAACTAAAAATACAAAGTGAATTATTGTTTAAATAGGATCATAAATTTGTATTAAGGATATGAATATAATAAACACACACACACACACAAAAACACAAAAGTCTTCTTGGCCAATTAATGCATCACAATAATCAGGTAGGTTGACGGAATATACACCAAAAAGTTAACAGAAAACCAAGCAGAGCCTGACCGATATATCGTTTTGCCGATTTTATATTTGCCGATATGAGCCTGTCTCAGATATATCGTATCGGCGAATATGCTGCCGATATGAATGTTTTTTTTACAGAACTTATAAGGCAGATAAAATGCTTCTAAATGGTGTAATTACTCCAGCAGAACGCGCTCCATTGTTTGCTACTTGCGACCCAGGTCACTGATGCACGGATGAGTTCAAACTTCACCCGAGTCCACTGATTGATGAAATTAGCGATTTATACCAATATGTGATGCTTCTGCTGGCCAATCAACCCTGGTTATGGAGTAAATGAAGACACTATGGAAAATATGTTATGATAATATAAATGACCCATTCAAAATCCAGGGTTGGATTTAGTTTGTAATTTTGATGATTTTTTTAAGATCCCATGAGTCCTGATAAATGCAATTTCAACTATTTCTGAAGTGCTTCTTGTTGGAAAGCACTTTTACCACAGTGTTTTTTCTGTTGGACTTGTGTAGGCCCAAGGTGTTTTTTTTTTCTCTTCTGTTAAAAGCTGTTAAATTATTAAGCAGTGTCCCGTGTAGGTTTTTTTCCTTGTATTTTATGTGGTGACCACTGTGGGAGGTGCTCTGGGCATTTTTCTTTCTTGGTTTTCTTCCCTGATGTGATGTATGTTGCAAAGCGAAAGTAAAAGTTTCATGCAAGTTCGTTTGTTCTAACCAGAAAGAGCTCCGTGTCTTTATTTAAAATCAACACTTCTTTTATAAAGAACACCGCTTTCTCACATAACGCAGTGAAGCAGCCCGTGCATAGAATGAATAATCGATTCTTGAGCCATTGATATCAACCAATTCAACACCACCGCCATGGACAGCACATGGTAACGTCGCACGTAAGAAGGTATATCTTAAGCAACCTCCTAAGGTATAGTTCGGGGAACGCCTAGAAATGGTACACCCTTAGTTAAGGCATACTTTTAGAGTCTTCGTAGCGTGCTAAGAGACAGCGTTATTGGAAAACGCAGCCCAGGTCAGTACACTTAAATCAAATCGTGATTTAGACTAGTGTCTGTGAATTAGGGATGCTCCGATCCGCCTTTTTCACCTCCGATACCGATTCCGATATCTAGGGTTCGGTATTGGCCGATACCGATACCAGTGAAGTTTTTTTCCCTCATTTAAATAAATGTAGAATTTATATATCTCTGTGTGTGGAACTGATAATCATTATTTCACAATCTACTAGATACAGACTACTTCATTATAAAGAAAAATAAAATAAACAAATATGAAAAAATATAGGCCTATGTATATTTATAATCTATGACAAAAATTTATCATAAACTAGGTTAGTGGATAATTTGGCAGCAAAAGTTATTCTAGAAAAATCAGTGCACAATAATTTTAGAAATCCAAACATTTAGTGAAAAAACAATATTTTGTGGGGAACAAATAAAAGTGTTGCACTAAATATGGTCAAATGTTACACATTGCTATTTGTATTATTATAAAATCCATTCATTAAAAACATTCATGAATGTATTTATATATAAGTATATACTATAAAATTAAAATACATTTCTTTTAAATGTATAGCATATTTTTTAATAAGGCAACAACATATGATAGATACGATAGGACAAAACAAATACAGTGCAGCACGAACTGTTTTTATACAGTCT